GTGTTTGTGTTTGTTGTTTATCGTTTTTTTTTTTTTTTTTTTTTTTTTTTGCCTATCCGGAGATTAACATTGGTCCCCTGAGAACTTTTAAGATAGGCTAAGCGAGCTAGGTTAGTCTGCTTGAGCATAACGTTTTTATTTTTTTAAGATTTTATTTATTTATTACATATACAGTCTATACAATCTTGTGCCCTGCATGCCAGCAGAGGGCACCAGATCTCATTCAAGGTGGTTGTGAGCCACCATGTGGTTGCTGGGAATTGAACTTGGGACCTCTGGAACAACAGTGCTCTTAACCTCAGAGCCATCTCTACAGCCCTGAGCATAAAGTTTTATATTATGCATTTGTCCTATAAAATGTGCCATAAAATATAAATATATATCAAATAAATATATTGAGACTATTTTATATCATCATAAGGTAAGTATACTGATATAATATATCATATATTATTTTTATAATCCTCAGCATTTATCTTGAGATTTGTTTTCCCCCCATGGTCTTCAAAGCTATATAGATCAAGGTAACTTTTGTGAAAATATGTAGGTGAGTTTAGGTTACAGGTGTGTGTATGTGGATTATGCACGCATGAGTATGGAGACCAGAGGATATCCTCTGACGCCAACCGCCATCAGATGCCATCGACCTGAGTTATTTTTGAGCTGGGATCTCTCACTAGAACCTGGAGCTAACCAGTTCTGTTAAGCTGGTTGGCCGGCAAGCCCTAGGAACCTGCCAGTCTGCTTCCTTGGTTCTTGGATCACAGGCATGTGCCACTGTTCCCAGATTTTTATGTGGGTGTTGGGAATTAACCTCAGGTCCTCAAGTTTGGGTAGCAACAGCTTTCCTGGGAGATCTGACTCCCCAGAGCCCAAGATATGGTTCATTTTAAGTGGTTATCAGGCCACTCTTTTCTAGAAAAGAATCAAACCTTATGGGGCGTCCAACCATAGCCACACACACAATTCTTCACATGTCTGTCCTTGGCTGTATGTGACCCATGGCACCAGGTTGAATGTGCCTACCAGGTGTTGGGTCAAACTGCTTTTACTTCCAGCTTCTCTTCTGTGAAGATACAGGCTCACTTCTTTAAGGCTTACTCTTGGGGCCTGTGGTGGTGGTGCACACCTTTAATCCCAGCACTCGGGAGGCAAAGGTGGGTGGATGCCTGTGAGTTTGAGGACAGCCTGGTCTACAATGCCAGTTGCAGGACAGCCAGGGCTACACAGAGAAACCCTGTCTCAGAAAAATAAAAAGACTTACCCTTGCAAATTCCCCCCCAACCCGGGAAAGGGTGAGTACCTGCAAGATTTCTTTCTCACTTGGTTTTGGCTACGGTTGAGAAGGTGCCAAGCTGGAGTGGAGGCATAAAGAGAGAAAAGGGGAGTTGTCTGTCGTCTTTTGAGCCATCCATCTCCGCATTTGGTCCCAGTTTGGCCATGTTTATGCTGCGTCTGGAGCGAGGTACCAGATCCTCTGAGTACTGGGCTTTGATCTGCAAAGTAGGAGTCGTTACTTGGCCTGAGAAATTCAGAAATAAACGGGTGTCAGAAAATGTAGTAAATATTACAAAACCAAGTAAGTTGTTGTTGTCATCATCATCGTTTCTTAGTACTTCCTACACCACCAGGGAGAGTCTCAGAGAGACTTGTACAGCAATTAATGTGGTTGCTTCCTGCAAAGCCACTTGAAACATTAAAATACACAGTATGTGATGGTTTGCATGAAAATGTCTCCCAGAGGCTCAGATGTTTGCATGCTTGATCCCCAGTAGATGGCGCTGTTTGGTAAGGTTTAGGGGGTGTGGCCTCCCTTGAGGAAGTGTGTCACTGGGGCAGGCCCTGTGCTTGGGAATCTCTGTACCCTTCCCAGTGTGTTTCCTCTGCTTTGTGCTCAGGGTTCAAGGGTTCACCTGGCTCCTTGCTCCTGCTGCCCGTCTCCCTACCGCAGTGGTGATGGGCACTTAACCCTCTGGAACTGTGAGCCCAAACAGACCCCTCCTGCTGTGAACTGCCTTAGTCATGGCGTTTTATTACACTAATAGAAAAGTAATTAATACACAGGCAAAGCAGAGACCACAACCAGGGTGTTTGTGTGTGTGTGTGTGTGTGTGTGTGTGTGTGTGTGTGT